CACACACACACACACACACACACACACACACACACACACACACACACACACACACACACACACACACACACACAGTTATGCAGATGCTATTCCTACTTTCTTTGCATTCTTTATGAGGGATTGATATAGTGATATTAGCCATCTCTTCATTTACTTCGTTTTTTGAATGTTTTTTCTTTCCTTGTATAAGTTAACAACGAACTATTTACAAAATTGTAGCTAGAGATCAACTTAATATTTAATTTCTTATTAACAACCATGCTTCACTTTTTCTAGTAAAGCAACTTTATTCGTAGAAATACACATGGCAAAAAAAACAAAAACAAAAAAAACAAATCTGAAACGTGGAGACATCAGAATTTTGCAAAGAAGTCGTGTGAGGTATCAATACTTCTAAGTTTAGAGGCTTTGTTAACTTCACATTAATTCCTCTTTGCTAAAAAAATCTTCCAAAAAGTGAACTTTATATTGAGAAATTGAAGTTAAAAAAACGTTAAGATGTTAAATACGTTTTAGTTTCTTTTTGAAAGATGGTTAGTAAGAGTGTTATATAGTTAGATGTATTGTTTTATTGGAATTCTACTCAGATTACATTTACAGTTGGAAGTTTCTAGTTCTTTGTATTGGACGAAATATTTAAGCCTTAGAATAAGGAATCGGTATGAAGTCCAAAACGTTGTTCACTAGAAGAACCAAATCTTAAATGTTTCCCAAAAACTTTGTGCTTATCTATATAATTCTTAATATTTTCTTGAACTGTGATTCGTACATTTGGTGATGGGCTTCTAACAAGACTTTTTTCTTTCTATCCCGCCTTCTTTCGCTACGCTAACCCTCTCTTCAGCCTCCCATTGTCCCTAAGGTGAAGTCTGACGGAGACACGGGTAACTTTGATGATTATCCGGAAGGAGACAACCATAAGAGAGCCTCACTTCTTACTGACAAGGAAATGAAAATGTTCGAGGAATTTTAGCCGAAGATCAAGTCTCTTAGTTTAGCCAAACAATTGGATCATATCAAAGTGCTGAAAGTAAAGATTATATCTTGTTGTATTGGGAAAGAGTTCTGGTCATAGATGTGTTAATTGTTATACTCTCATTAAGATGCAAGATTTATCGTTTTTGTTAACACGTATAATCGCAAAGTCTAGAAAAAAACTAAAATACAACAACATGCAGTGTGTTTAATCGTGTACAATCATTTAACCAAGTCCATATTTAAACACAATACCAGTGTGTGTGTGTCTGTCTGTGTATTAAGACTATATATGTTTTTCAGTTGTAACGGCATTACTGGGTTTACAGAAATTTAATTTAAGTATCTCCAAAGGTCATAGTGTTAATAATAATAAAAAAATAGAATATTGATTCACTTATTATGCCAATCTGATTATATAGAAATAGGAATGTTTGTTTTTCGTACTCACTGCCCTTTAAGAACACAGGTTTATTTAAAGTGGATTCTGAGGAGCTAAATAATGGGGTTTGTAGGATTAATTAATATAGTAACATATCGACACTTTGGCTCGTATATCATGTTATCTATTATTGCTTTGCGATGTTCTCAAAAACACTATGATGTTTCATCAGAAACGACCTCAGTGTTTATACTCCAACATTTTTCTTCGTTAGGAAAAAAAACAAACAAATTTGTAATAAATTGTTTGTCAAGCAAAAGGACAAGAAAAGAAAATAATTTAGTTAATTACTTTAATTCTGCTATATCAAAGTAATTCCGTCACTTTAATTTGTGAACTATAATTTATTCGATAATGAACTATTATTTAATAAACATTATAAAGATATCATTTAAAATTTCCAAACTCTCTGTTATAGCTGTTATTGTAAAAATCAAGCTACGTTATCTTAAAAGATGTTTCATTAATGTTTTTTTTTCTTTTATATATAAATTTTGTTTCTGTATTACAAAAAAATCTATTATTCTCCCAATCGATATCTTACCATTAGGCTAAGTTTTGCCTGTTTATGACTATGATTTTATCTACGTCGAATCTTTAATTTTTCTTTTTCCTTTATAATATATATAACTACAACTTCCTGACTTCCAAAACGCTATTTTTTCCAGTTACAAACCATATATACGTTTTCACCGAAAATTTAATCCCGGTGAACTTAATAAATAAGATGAACTACAGATTTTGTATACGAGTACATTCGTTCATTCTTATTTTAAAAAAACTGAGGTAGATGTGAAAAAAGAAAAAAAGTATTAGATTAGGTACATAATATTGATACATGACAACAGATGTCACTGTGGAGTGTAATTATTTATTTTTTACACAAATCTCGCTTGTTTATGTATAATTTATCTAAGGTACCAAAAATAAAGATTACTAAAATGCATTTAGATTGTGATGAATGAGCCAAATCGGTTTAATAAAAATTTGTGAGTTTATAAGAGAATTCTATCTGTAATTAATGTTAATGTTTTAAAAAATTATTAGGAAAATCGTTGCGAGTGTTAATGCGAGTATGTCTAAATAGTGTTAAATATTGTTATTAGTGTAATAACTTTGTACAATTAGTGTCTATTTGTTTGGTGTATATATTTAGGAAGATTCATAAAATTCAAGTCCATATTCAAGTATTAAAATTCAGTAACCCAAAGCTTTAAAATTCAGATAATAATTACAGTGAAAATTGTATGAATAATTATAATTAGTATTAATATAATAGCGTGGTACTGTTTTTGTAAAAGAATTTTTATTCTACGTCTTTGAGAATTATTGATTACTGGATTTGTCGTATTGAAATAAGGTGAAACTGGCTTATAAAAAATAATAATAATAACTTGAATGAGTATATATTATGTTTGGAGCTAAGATAGTAAATTATTCATACATTACATATAAGAATGGTGTAATAATAAATTAATTGTATTTAGATTAACCACCCTGTATGTACTGTTGCACAACTTTGAATGTTTTCTTGCGCGTATAAATATCTTCAACAAGAGAAAGGTTCAAACCGTCATATTACATTTTTATTTGACTAGTATGAAGTATCTTAAATGATAGAAGTCAAAAGGTTTTGATGACTTTGTTCTTGTTCTAATTAAATCATCAACTATAAAATAAAGAATTCTTTTGTATTGACATTACCTTCACATCAAATCAACTTCGTTTTATAGCACCCTTATAACTATAATCAGTTCTGCTCATAATTAAATGTAAGTATCTAAGATCTTCGCAAGTCCCGGGTGCTGTAAAATAACGCCGTTTTTTTTTAATATGTTATATATTCCCTCAGCCTCCAATAATTCCTCGTGTAAACCACAGCGGGGACACTCGCTACTTTGACCGATTTCCTGAGAGGAAATGGAATCCCACCACCGCCAAAATGTCAAGACAGGATCTTGCTTTCTTCTCGGATTTTTGAAACATGTACTAGTCTTATTTTGTCTCAAAGTTTGTCATTTGAAGTTTAAGACCTCAAACTGTTACATTTATTTTTTTTGTTTATCTCCCTTAAAATTGGTAAATAGCAAGATATCTACTGAAAGTTTTATGATGTACACCAAGTACAATGATACGTAATTAAATGTAAGGTGGGACACTGTAGTGAGATTAATTATATATTTCAAACTTTTGGATGTGTGTCTTAAACACACAACATTTTTTTTTTTTTTTTACAGTTCCATGTGTTTACTATGTATGTAAATGTATAATTATATTTTTTGTACGTTTTCACGTTATACATGGCATTTAGGTTATATCATTTAATTATGTAAAATACGTAAGTTAACAATATATAATAAGCATGTATTATACAATTAGATTTACTTGTGTTTACCATGTGTTATGTGAATAACTATTTAGCTTGTTCTGTTTTTGGGTTTGAGAAACAAGCTCGTTTAACAAATTTTAATAAAGAAAACTAAAATATTTAAGGATGAATCTTGCAAAACTAAGATAAACAAAGTTTCATCTATCAAAAAATTTTAAAATATTGTTAAAATAATGATACCTATTGATATTTGTAATGTACATTATGTTAATAAAACTAAAACACACTATAATGTTAATGTACTGCACAATAAAACTACTAAAAAGGACACCAAGCCCTGTTGGAGGTTTTTCGCATGTCTTGGTGATAATAAACAAGGAGTTGCAATAAGAGAACTTGTATACTTTAATAAATGTATTCGCATAAAATATTTAAATAATTCACATAATTATATAACCTCTTACGCCCTCTACATCTACAAAATAAACTTATAAAAATTAATTTCTATAATATCTGGACCAAACTCTTTATTTAGAATGATACTGTAGTTTTCATAGTTTCCAAATATTCTCTAATATTTATTATTCTTAACTTTGTTTAACACAAACTGGAGTTTATTATGAGACACTTCTATAAACGTAAATAAAATCACGACCTATATCTCCAGAATGTAACTTTATTAACTCAATTATTAGCTGGATTAGTGAACTTGCAGGATATCGATATCTCCTGACGAAGCTATAATAGCGAAATATTAAGCTAATAAAGTCGCATTCTGGAGATATAGGTCGTGATTTTACTTGCATTTATAGAAGTGTCTCTAATATTTAATTTATTCTTATTATGATCAACCTAATTAACTACCAGTATATCATGGCAACTGACAGAATGAATGTCCAGCTAAAGCCGCTTGATTAACTTCGTTACTTAACTCTAAATTTTAATTTCTTCATGTCTGTCCAATGTAACTTAAACCACAGTTAGGTGAACTTTTATAGGTACCACATTTACCATTACCATCTTATTATACTTTCAATAACATTTCTTAAATTATAACGAGAAGAAAGTTACAACTATTATGTTTTTTTATTAATGTGGAAGTGCTCTGAGCATATCGTCATTGGTACATTTTTATACCTGTAACTTATTACAGCATTTGTTATAAATCCTGTGAATAACGATGGGAGTAAATCCCCTGTCATTGGCAACACACAGTAAAAATTCAATTCCGACATTATATCTTTATTATGTGTCTAGATTTTTAAAGCCCAAAAAACAAACTTTGAGAAAGCAGACACGTTTTGTGACCAGGATCGACAGGATTCCCTATGTGATGACATTTCAACCGAGAACCCACTTTTAACAGTCTTGTCCAAAAATACAAACGGCCCTCTTTTTTCTTACTTTTTAACGTGAACTGAATCTCGATGATGACCGATTTTATAGTTTGTAAAATCCGTTAATGTATCGTTATCGTTGCTAGTCCAGAAACGTTTAATACGCATACTCTAACCATAGATTTGGTTTAAATAAGATGGTATTTTAAGATCGTGCATACAAAATTTACACAAAAGCGGGAACAAAATACGCATCAAAAGTACAGCATCGGGTAATATTTACAGTATTAAAACCTTCTAATAAAGAAAACTTGTTACTCAATAATAATCTATATTTAAAGCAACTTAATGCATATGCTACAGAAAAAATTGTGAAAAAAGGGACTTCATCAGATAAGGCTAATTGATCCATTGGTTCCAACTTAACATTTATTATAAAGTTTAATGAATTTTTTACCATTTACTAGAGAATTAATTAAATTTAATTTAGTATTAAACTTTTCAACCAAGTAGGACGAGGAACTAATATTGTCCACCATCTGACGGAACAAAATACCAATTCTATGGGTTTTCGGATGGACATAAAACTGAGCCAAAATAAACCTCGTGGGTATAAAATACTTCCTTTCATTAGTAGCAAAAGTGACATAATTGTTCACGATAGTCTAATATGAAATATTACCGTTTTTAACTTCGTTATATGAACCATCTTTTAACAGTTGTTTAATGTTATTTGTATAAATAATTTTGTCTCGGTAATAATTTGGCCAAATTTATCAGGTTTAGTAACTAAAATTTTATTATTCTTGATCAAATATAAAGTTGTTTTAAGTATTACTTACATTTAGGCTTAAAGGTACAAGTTGATTATTTGTTGGACACCTTTGTTCTTTATAATTTTCTTGTCAGTGAAACGTTTTAACCAAATTGTAGTATATTAACTCTTCTTTAATCGACAAGTGATTAGTAATATAAAAATTCCAAACTAAATTCAAACGTGCTAGCCGTGCCTAATTTAGAAGTGGTAGAATGAAGGCACTCACTGCTAACTCTTGGGCTTTTCTAATTGATTGTACATTATAATGCCCCCACTCCTGAAAGAGCGAGCGTGTTCGGTGCTGGGATTCGAACTCGTGACTTGCAGATTGCAAAGTGTCCTAACCATCAGATCATACCAAGTTCTTTTGATTTTTTTTTCAGATGAAAATTTCGTATTTGATAAGTTAATGATCTTTAACTTAGCCAATAAGTTATTATACTAACATACCATTCTATGATTAATAATTAGAACTCCTCTTTTTTTCTTCATGAAATCATTTCATTTTATTTTTCAGCTTTAAATTTTCACAGCTCAATCAGGTAGATGCTTAATAAATATTCCATAAGTTGTGGATATTTTTTGCTAATTTTAAATGTAAATCATGAAGTTTATCCTCAGTTAAGCAATACCTCTTCTTTCTACCCTTAAAGCTCCAAGAATTCTAAAATGAGTGTTTCCTAACAAATTAAACATTTTTATTTTCTATATTATAGCCACTATTAATACTCTTGGGTACCACTTTAAAGGGCTTCTTCCATCTTCACTTTCTGGTTAATTGTAAGTTGTCTACGAAGTAGGCTTCTAAGTTTCTTATATTATTGTGGAATCTTTAAGATCCTCGGGCATCTATTTAAGTTTATACGGTAACTATGACAACAACAAACCAGAAAGTCTCGATCTATAATCCGTACGGACAAGACGTACCCAATCGGATACATTAATTAAATGAGATGTGAATTTGCTGGCTTGTAGAAAAACCTTTTAAAAGCTCTTGAATATTTTCAGACGAAAATGGTACTTATCTTGATATGCATTTAGAGATGTTCATTAAATACGTTAAAGTAGAAAAGCAACTTCTCTTACAACACCACGTTCCGGCCGTTTTTAACATTATTTATGTAAAGTACGTTCAGATTTATATTTGATCTTTAAGGAAAATTACTGCTTGTCGATCAAGATTATAATTTTCTTAGGAAGCAAGTTGCGTTGCTATAATTATCGTACAGTATAACTGGTCAAGATGGGTTACATTTTTGATTAACTCAAACTATTGATGCTATGATATTACAACATAATATCTAAGAATATGTAATATGTATCTTCTTAGAACACCATTGATCTCATGAAGCAAATTAGAATTATAAGAATTATACTTTGTATTAATCATTATTGTAATTCTAACCAATGAAAACGGTCATCTTGTATATATATAAAAAAAAATATGCTTAAAAAGTTGAATATAGTACAAGTTTCTAGTTATGATAAGGGAATTTAATATTCATCGCAAGTGTTCAAGAATTTTATTGTATTACATACACTAATTTAGTTCTTTAAACAAGAAATTCAGTAATGGAGAATATGAAAACCGATATCGAAAAAATAAAACTATGAACGCTTCAAGAAAATATGCGTGTCTCTTCTTTATCGGGCAGATGGTAGCACTACCTATGTAGGCATGACTCTGATTGTTCATCGAAATGGTATTATAAACATCTCCTCAATAGGTAGTCGGAACTTCAAATTACTATACCTGTGTTTCCTTTTATAACAATGTCTATGTAATGACTTAGTTACGAGTTTTGGGAATGTCTGTAAATATCATAACAAAAAGTTTGAATTTGTTCTTCTTCTTTCTTCTACATCTTTTTTATTACATAACTCAAAAACCAAAACAATGGTATCAGACAATTTTACTGAGGTGCATTGATTCAAACGGAGTATCCCTTTTATAAGTATTATTAATAACTAGTAGTAATAAAACACACACACACACAATTCTAGTGTATAAATGTAATTGATGTTATCATTACCCCTTGAAGTTATCTTTTTCTGAAATTTGGTATCCTTTTAAAAAGTTTAAGTACAGGGTGAAACTGGAATTACCAGCCAATAATAGATAAACAATAAATATTACAGTTGGAACCGCGTTGTATTTAGAATTCGTTTATAAATACAACTTTCCTATGTCTAGTAAGACACTGCATTAAAAATAAGCAAACAAGTAAAAGGAAAACTAAAAAACAGGAATTAAATGTGGGGATGGCTAATTCAAAAACAATACAAACAAGATAGTGGGGGTTGCATTTGCATCATCTCTACATAATAGAACAAGCAAGAATTAACATACAGCAATATATACATATATATATATAACTATTCAATTACAATTGAGTTTAATTTATCCTATTTTTGTCTTTTAAAATTCTACTACACTGTGTGACTGGGTTCTTATGTAGGGATGATGCAAATGCCATCCCTAAAATCTTGTTTGCATTGTTTTCGAAGGATTGATATTAGCCATCCATACACATACTTTTTTTTACTTGTATCACATATTTTGTATTAGTCACTGAAAGTGATTAAATAAAAACTAACACGAATTTTCTGTATATATCTAATCAGTTTCTTGGTATTGAAGATTTAAGAGAGCATAGTCAATCCCGTTACAAAATAAACACATCATTTCAAGGGATGCCGATCAGTGGATGTAGCCAGTCAATGAAGGCTAAGCAAGCATCCGCACATGATTTAGCATGTCCTGTTACTGATGACTTCTTTTCTACTTTTACCAATTTAGACTGCCTGAGGTTTTTTTTTTGTGAAATATGAAACATTATACATACCAGAAATAGCCAGAAATCGAATGAATATGTCTTATCATCTCCAAATGTGACCTTGGACCAATAAGTACCTCTCATACTAGAAAATAAACGTAGCTTTATTATCTTAATACTCAACAGAATGAATAATAATAATAAAAAACAAGATAAATCAGCAAGACGAACTGGTCAAGCCAGTGGATTCTAAAGTCACTATTCCAATTCAACACACAAATTCTTGGTCATAACACCAAGTTTTAGTTAATCCTGACTGCACTCTGGCATTCCGAGTTTGAATAACTACACAGATAGGCCAGAACTCTTGCAACAAAATGGAATCTGGGATTCCACTCAAATTTACACTGAATTGGATGGACAAATATGCCACTTACAGAAACTTCCATTGAACCTAATACCAGAATATGAGATTGACTGAAAGATTACTGAGAGCCTTCAGTGGCACAGCGGCATGTCTGTGGACTAACAACGCTAGAATCTGGGATTCGATACCCGTGGTGGGCAGAGCACTGATAGCCCATTGTGTAGCTCTGTGCTTAATTACAAACAAACAAACATTACTGAGAAAATGTGAAAGATGGTATATTGTATAAAGCTAGTTTCATAAAACATTCACTTCTAGTCGCAAGTGTACCTTTAGTTGTTTCATTTAAAATAAGAAATATGTCGTTACTAATGAACAAAATATAGTTATATAAGCATATAGTATGGAAACGCAATTCTGTCTCATTAGAAGCCGCAGTGATTGCAAAATAGTGTTCAATATTTCTTTAAAAACATAAACCATTAAATAAAATATAGTTAAGAAGACAGGTTTGCAGATATTTGTTTCTTTTGACAGTGTAAATAACTCAACTTATCTGAAGATTATCAGAATTTAATGGTAGTGTTATAAACAAATCGTGATCCTGGCAACCCTTCTAGAGAATATTTAACGATAAATTACAAGTAAGCAAGGTTTTACTTTTCTTCGAACACACCAACAATCAAACAAATTTGTGTCTAGAATTCATAGGCGTGGATGAACTTATTATCCAAAGGGTTCGAAGATTTGGTGATCGTACAGATACAATATTTTTATATTCAGGAAACTCATGTAATCCTTAACATAACTTAAGTTTGTTATTAGGGTCTGTAGTAAAATATTTAAGCGAAATTAGAAATGTATATTGTGGCTTAATGATTATTAGTTCGAAGTGTAGAAATCACATCGAAGTAAACAACGGACACATAGTTTAAAACCTATTAGTAGTTTTCATGATATTTTGCTTGTTTATAACAGGATAGATTTTATTATTTTTATATTATTTCTATATTGAGAAAAACTCAGTAAACAGTTTTGACGGAAATGTCTTCCGACAATTGTTTGAAGTCGGATATCGAAAATTGATTGTAGCCTCAAAATGGATGTATGATTGAAAAAAGTAGGATATAATATTTTAAAGAATAAGTGAAACAAACAAAAAACTCTAGTACATATATATATATTATGGCTTTTATTACGTATATAAGAATACTTCCAATAGCATCATTTAGATTTCAGGCACGTTTCAGAGCTAATCTCCTCGTTATTTCCATCAGTTTTTTTTCTATTGTAGTTTCACTGCGATAATTAGATAGAAAGCTTAAAAAATGTTCTTATAATTAATCTTCGCTAATAACCCACATTTCTATAATAAAAATTAGATGCTGCAAAATCACGCAAAAAATTCAGCATAAAAAATGTTCATTTCAATAAATTGGGCTCTGATTAGATAAGACAAGCAAATTACTTATATAAATTCACATAAAGGTCATCATAATAACGAGATAATTTGATACCTTATTTTTGATGGAATATGTAATTTTAAAATTTCACTAATAAATCCCATAGGAAATGGAATTGGAGCTAAATTAATTAATTCCTTTCAACCATACTATAATTTGTATGAAACCATTGTTTATATTTAATTACTTATATTATTTAATATGGATAGGCTGGCAAAAACCAGCCCTAAAATCTTATACAAGAAAGGAGCTGTAGTTAGTTTTCGATCACTAAAGAAACAGGAGTTAAAGAAATATAATTAATGACTCCAACCGAATAATGGTATTACAGTCCAACAAACTACTAAATAAGTTCACCAGAGCTGCTTTACATTGACTTAAGGGAAAAGTATTAAAGTGTTTTATGATGACGTTATAGCGGTCATATGTGATGATGACCACTGACAAGATGGACACATATCCAAATATAGAACCAAGCATTACATCTAAGAAAGACATTTCGGAAACTCAAATCTATTTTACAACAATAATAAAATAGATCATTAATATTTAAAGTAGTTTGATGAAATAGTTCGAACTACAATGTCTGAAGATTCTATTGGTTCTATACTTTGTCAAACAAGTACTGTACAAAAATTTTACACATCATTAAAAACCCTGTCATTAAATGTTTCAACATAATTCGTCTGATTTTTAAAGTAAAATATGAAATTGAGATTAAGATGTTAAGTTGGCGCTGGTAAACATAAAAATGTGTTTATAACAAAAATATAAACAAAAGAAAATTTAACATTAACAGTTTTTGTGGAAAATATATAATTTTTCAAAATATTGACGTCTGAATTATTGTTTCAATTCCTTGTTTTTCAGTTCTTTTTTTCGGTTATGTGTATTGAGAGTGTATAGGTTTCGATGCTTTAGAGGTGTATAACACAAATATCTTAACTGACATTTTAATATAACATTTTATCATTTAGGATTTCTTGCAGTATTAGAATGTTTTTGAGATACAAATTAAAGTCTACGATTGTGTCTTATGATTGGTAAAATAATTAAATAAAACTTATTTTGAAGTTAGATTCATTCGAAAACACTTAAGTTAAAGGAATCAATAATGAAAGTGTTTTGAATCTTGTATATGTACTTTTCTGAAAAACAAAACAAAAAACAACAACAACAAAGTTTTGTGATGGTACAACGGAAAATCGCGTAGGCGACAACTTTTATCTACTGAGCTGTAAAGAGAATTTTACGAAGTTAATGAATAACTTTTATCCGTTTGAAAGACAAAATATCCTGATAGTTGCGTGGTTGGTTTTGAGTTTGAGTTGAATAAAGTTATTAACTCACACATAAAAGGACCTAAAGCCCACCTCTCTCAAAAACAGTTCATTATCATAATAGGTGTCATGTTTTCCATCTCCATGATGTTGACATTCATTATGTTTTTTGTCATGTTCTCCATCTCCATGATGTTGACAATCATTATGTTTGAGTCTGACCCAATAGACCTGGTTCTCACGAAGGCATAGATGACTACGTTATTCCTAAATAAAACGACACAAGATGGCCTGAAATACGGTGGAAAATATAGTTAACAGTGATAGTATCCTACTGACAAAACAATACACTCTAGTCTTTGTAGATGAGAACATAAGAAACGTATATCTAATTAGATATACTCATTATAAAGTTGATTTTCAGCTTCGCTTTAAGTAAGTAGCTTCTTCTGATTCAAATCTGATATTAATAGCAATAATAAGCATCTGAAACACAGCAGACTAAATACGATACCAGTTTTTACTACGCTGAGATTGGAGGGGAACTGCCACCAAATGGAAGAGCTGGAGTGACTCGTTTTTAGTATAAAAAAGAAAAACAAGCATAGAAAAACCAATTTACGTTAACATAAAATGTGAAAGTTTGAGATTATTATACAGTTTGATTAGGAGAATAACATAAACAAATAGATGAAACTTTTGAGTAAAAAAAAATGTCCTCTAATATTTCTTGTGATATTTTAAATCCAACTTTTTTCTTTAAATGTTAACGTCAGCATGAAAAGTAGCGTTCAGTAACATAGCTTTTATATTTAGCTATGTCATCTGTACATTCGAAACGCCATTTCACTGAACTATCGTTTTCATTTCACCAAACTATATTGATATAAGAAAATAAATGTTTTGTCGTGTCAAAAGCAGAAGCCCGGCATGGCCAGGTGGTTAGGGCACTCGAATCCTCGTCCCACCAAACATGCTCACCCTTTCAGC